ACCTCTTTGCCCTGAGTGTCTCATGACCACACCCACCACTCCTAATCACACCCTCTCAATCTGTGACCTCACCTCTCCAGTGATTACCTCTTTGCCCTGAGTGTCTCATGACCACACACACCCACCACTCCTAATCACACCCTCTCAATCTGTGACCTCACCTCTACAGTGATTGCCTCTTTGCCTTGTGTGTGTTTGATGGCCAGGTAATGCACCAGGTTGGGGTGCTCCAATTTAACGAGAGACAATAACTCCTGTTCCACAGTACCAAGCTGTAATTTAACAAAAATGGAAAAAAAATTGAACAACAAAGCCATGACACAAACACAGACTTACGCGTCACAATACACGCAAAAAGCTCAACGACTAACACAGTACTGGGCCTTATTCTAACACAAGCGTGCTTTAAGATTAAGAATGCAAGTGACATGTGTATGAATGTTCTGCCACTGAAGTAACATTTCTTCAGATTGGTCTACAGACTCATCTTGTATTACACGTTATTAAAATCGACATGTAATCCTGTTATCGATGATGTCAATACGGAAATAAATATTGTTGATTGATTGATACATGTATTTTGAAATCACTTTTTGGTGACACACATATCAACCTTTAAGTCACAGTACAGTTATGGGGGACTTTTGAGACACTTGGTGGGGGCAAGGACAGTGGTCCTTTTCAATTGACCTACAGGTGTAACATACCGACGGTGTGCTTTGTTTACCTGTGCACTTTCCTATGTCATTAACCATATTCTGACAGGGAGCCGGTTTCGGGTACTGCGGGTTTGTACGCATGGCTGGGGTGCCCATTTGGACAAAAGACAGTACTCGGAACAAAAGACAGAGTTGCTGGGAGTTGCCAACATTTTGTCACTTGTCAATAGTGGAGGAAATCCGTCATTGTTTTGAAAGATTATACCACTGTTTGTGGCATTCAGTGCGAGCAGATTACCACCAGGGACAAAAGTGCTCCAGCACTCCAGTGATGAGTGATACAATACCGCTGCATGCTAATCTGGCCCCTATTGAAAAGACGCCAGCAGCGCACTGTGCCAGTTTCGGAAACAAAAGAAACTTATGCAACACCACACAATCTGGGCTCATTTTACAAGGCAGCAGGCCTAGCTGAAATACTCTGGTATCAATAGATGTTGTCTGTCAGATTAGAGTAGCCATCAGACAGTCACTCCATGGGGTATAGGCGTTCAGGAATACAAGATAAGAATTTTTGAAGATTTTTGAAAACCGAAGATACTGAAAATTCACCCGTACATAGGCACTGCATTTTTAAAAGCACCCGACGGGAAATGGTTAACACCTTCGCTACGGAGGACTGCTACTACCGCACCATTGTATGAGGATTAGTGCATACCACACATACAGACTATTCACCATGCAGCTGCTGGTTCAATGGGGCCTGCTGCTGGACAAAGCCCTCCATTCAGGGCACACCATAGCCCAGCAGTCACATCCATCGAACTCCCATCGGAGAGTGCACAGGTAAACATTACGTCATCGCGTTTTATGTCTTCGATTGGGGTCTCATTTGAGTTCATGTGCACATGCTCAATGATGCAGACAATGCTGGACTGGAAACATTGTACGTTGCCACCGTGCAACTCAAAGGTCGCCCATTACCCACACCACAATGTCTTCTGCTCTTACCTGCTTGACACAATTCTCTGCGGCTTGTTCTTCATCTGGTAAGGGCTTTCTTCCCTTACCGTGTTTCCATTTCATGACCCATTCCCTGAGTGTGACCAGCTCTCCTGTGCTGGTGTCCATGCCTACGTAGATGGTGCTGCCTTTGTCGCCACAACCTGCGCCAATGTGATAAATAACTTGAGCATAGTTTCTTCTGCAACAAGGAAAAGTGCCCATTGTTAAACGGACACTTGATGTTGCTGATGGAAAGGGACGAGGAATACTAGGAGATTCCAAACAGGAATTCAGCCAAAATGCTCATTCCAACTGGGGAAACTACCCCTTGTAAATAGGAATACTTGTCATTCCTACTGGATCTGATGCAGGTGCATCTGGTGATTTCCAATCCACCTTGAACACAAGCACCCCCTCAACGATTGAAAAGAGCCAACGTTGGTAGGGAAGGCTAATTTTGTTGGTAGCGATGTGGCCATAACGTGTACATTTCATAGTTGTTTGTGAACCAGCGCGGTACAGTTCCTATCAAAGGAGCCTGCGTTGCTAGGAAAATTGCACCCTCTCTTGGTCCAGCTCAGGGCTCACAGAAATTTAGTCAGCAATGCCCTCTAAAGCAGGGGAAATCTGCAGAAAACTGCCCTTTCTAAAAGAGAACCCTGGCTACTGCATGCAGAGAAAGACTGTGTCCACTAAGTGATTGCATGCATGTGCCAATGACACCCATTCCAGCTTGACACAAATGACAAAGCACCTGCTGCCACTGACAATGTCACATGTCCCTAAATGGAGCATTATAAAGGATTCTATACATTCTGAGTTATGAGTCACTCCTTTTACAATGACAATGAATCACAGACATGGACACTTGGTAAGGCAGCTCAAATCCCGTGACTACAATGGACTGTAAAGGACGATACCACAGCATAAATTTGTCAACCAGGAGAAATTGAAATATTTACATGTACTTATCAATGCATGCCTACATAAGATCGAAACTTTGTTTCTCTTAGTTTTGTTGTATTTTGCCTTGCTGTGTTGGCTTTTATGCTTTTTGCAATGGCAACAACAAAAGGGGATAGTCCATCCCCCCCCCCCCGGTGATGCCTGTGAGATTGCTGACTTTAACGAGATGGTCTAGTACTTACTGATCACTTGGCCCCTGTTTATGGTTCGTTCTGTTTTGGTGTTGAAGACAGTCGTCACCACCCCTCTGTGGAAACTATCACTTTTCTGTCGTCTGGCCTTGGCATGTTTCTGGTTGGGCGTTTCACTCTCCGACTGATTCCGTGTGATCTTGCTTTCACTTAACGTCCTGTACGGAGTGAGACGATGCCTTCTGA